AGTAACACTGGTAACACTAGTAAAGTATGGCCAAAGCCTAACTTAATACAATGAAGCGTATTCGACGAAATAAGCATAAAATCTCTCCACGCTAACAAATTCAATCGATTTTAGCCTTTTATGATTTGTTCCGTTATCAGTCTGTTTTGTCTTCAGTATACCTGATAAAAAAATCATTTCCTTTTTGCTCTTATCGGCAGTCTGGTTCTTCGATGAGCTCGAAAATCTTCTCTCGTCTCTGCTATTTTTCCGAGAGTTGTAATCCTATTGTCATGCTTTTTTTCTTTTTTTAACTATAGATTTTGATGGGGGCCTTGAAAATTTAAGAATGGAGGGGGAGGGCACAACGACAATATCCAAATTTGGTTTAATTAATACCCGATATCAAAAGCTTGTGAACTCGAATTTTCAAAGGACCTAACCACAACTACAAAATAGCACTCGACGTACCCAGAGTGGGAAGAGGATCGCGGATTAATTAAAATTCTTTTTTTGGGGACTTTATAGAAAATTAAATGCTTTGTACAAAAAGGGGCGTGGTTACGGCTATGTTTTCGTCACGTCCATCCCACCTTGCAAAAACTCCTGAACCGCCTCTTAAAAATGCGTTTTTATACAAGTCATTGGAATTATCAGCAAAAATTTGAAATTTCACAAACTATGAGCTTTGTAGAGCGATTTGCAATTTTTGTGGCTGCATCCGCTTTCTGCCCTCCCACTTCTCCTCTCTCTCGTTCGCTGTTCGATTTATTTGCTTTCTTGGAAATCGTCTCAAATTTCCACAAATCACTTTCTTTTTTCCGAAATCCTCAAAGAATCGCAAAAAAAAAACAAGTGACCCATTATATCCAGGCCGCTTTCAGCCTGATGGGCTCAGCAGCACAGCTGCGATTGTTGCTATGGAAGAATTTTCTACAACAAATTCGTTCACCATGGTTCACATTTATGGAATTTTTCATCCCGCTCCTTCTCATAGCTATCAGTTTCGGATTGATGATAGGGGTAAGTATCGAAGGTTTTAGAAAGTTTTGCTTTCATCTTAGTTTACTGATTATTCAGTTATTCGATTAGGGTTTAGTTGAGTAATTTTGTACTTTTAGTTGCGAGGAAATTTCGAAAAATATCATTATGAGAAAAACTATCAGCCATGGCCGGTGATGGGAAGTGGTGTTGACTTCATCTATCCAACAAACATCAGCAGGCCCGATGTGAGTTGATTGATATCAAAAAAAAAAATCAGTGCAATAATATAATTATGAGCTTATGTAGTTTTCACTTACTGATTTGTTTGTATGTGTTTCATGTAAATGGTCCCCTACTCCCGCAAGAAGGCGCGAGGCTTTGACCCTTGCAGCTATGTGTCGCGGCGCGGCGCAACGCCTCTGAGTCGCTCTTTTAAGCTCACGCGCACTAGATGCAGTGATGTTCAAGAAATTCTTTTCTGAGTTTGAAAAGAGAAGTTTTTCGAAAAAAAAGTTAGCTTCTTTCTCTCTGGAACTTGTTTGAAGTGCTTTCCAAATCTTTAGCTCAACTCTAAGGCCTAAGGCATACCTCAGGCAATCTCAGTCGCCGCGCGA